GACAGTGGTCCTCCAAGCAACTGGTTTCGTTTTAATACTTCCCATGAACTTCTCAGTTGACACCCAACCATCTTGACTGACGGAGTTGCGTAAAGCCGTTGTTTCTTAGTAGGCTATTTTATTTTTTAATTACGACTGACCTAAGTAAATGATATGACCGGAAAGAGGATTTTCTTTTCTGAACGGTCTTTAATTAATGCGTTTACGTAGGGTACTTCTAACTATCATTTTAACGCTATTAGTATGGGTAGGTGCGCCAAACTGGAATTAGTTGGCATGCATGCCAATGGTAACGTAAATCATGATTGAAGTTATTAAACGTAATATTCTTTTGAAGGGATTTAAGATCAATTTGAGTTAACACAAATAAAATCATCATGGCCGGACCCTGTAAAATAGAACCAGATAATGTAGAATATTTGTAAGCACAGTAACGAATTCGTTTCCCCACCTTGTCATTATCAACCATTGTACAATGTCGGTACCATATGGCTTAAGTCTCTCCTTAGTAGGTTCACGGTAATTGTCCGCAAAATTTCCTACCTCATACTTGCAACTTGAAATTCCGCACCGCTAATGTTTGAGCAAGCCCAAGTCTTTGCGCCAGGCAACTTTTATCTGGAACCACAAAGGCTAAGTTATTATTAGTACGACCCGTTTCAAATGTTTCACAACAAAGAACGGCGATTGCCAGCGCCTCAAGTCGGATTATTTGACTTCGTCTGTTTTCGTAGGCATTTCAGCACTAGTTTAGTCATTCTAATATAAAATGGAGACCACTCCCCGTAAGCATACGCCACGCGCAAGTCCTATTTGGTCGCCACAGTGAATTTTAATCCAACCGTTGATGTTAACTGGGATAAGGAACAAGTTCGCGTTTCACTGCTAATTTTTAGGTTCATCTTTCAAGTTCTAAATCGAAGTGAGAAGTTCTGAACTACGAGTTAACGCTAGTGAGAATCAACGTTGTGGTAGCAGACTGTTATTATGACTTTAACACCACATGATTTTTAGCCAAACAACTAATAACGGATTTTACTCTTCAAATAAAGGAAATTTCGTCACAAGAGGTGACTATGACCCACTTCAGTGAACCAATGGTGACAAATCGGCTTATGCTGTCCTCGGTCATAGTTCACATGGCAGACACATACCAATCTGTCGAAACTAGCACAAGTTGGGTGTGTAATGGTAACAAGTGAAAATCTGCAATTTATATCACGGACTGATCTCATGCATGAATACAAAACTCGAAGCAATAAACGGTTCCGTCGGGTCCAACAAACAGCATTTCCAAAGTAGCTATGGGCTACTTGTTACAAGAGCACATAAAATTAGAACATGGATAGATGCTGGGATGTTAATACTGGTGTCTCCGTAATGGCTGTATATCTTGGAGTAACTGAATTGTTTACTAATCTTGCCACGTTCAATAACAATGGCGTTGCTTATTGTGACGAATATGAGATAACTGAGTTCACACTTTCCTAAGATAAAGAAAATATGAATATTAAGTGTGCGCTTTCATTTTTGGATTTCAATACTATTCTTTCATATAGCCTAAGACAAACAATGAAGTATCCGGGTGACTGTTATCAAGGTGACATAATATGCAGTCTTAATTTGATTTGATTTGGACACATGAATATTGGTACAGGGGAGCGCCAATATATATGCGCCACACAAAACAATGAAAATTCGAGAGGAATACAAAGAAAGAAAAAAAAAAGCTAAGTAGCGCAACAAAAAAAAGAGAGGACAATAACGAAGAGATTGGTGTAAGGTAATGTGCTAGTAATCATGGAACGCAAAGGTACAATCGGAAGAAATCTTTCAGGTAAGGGAGACAGAACCACTTGGTATGAAGAAAGTAAAAGAAGGTTACAGCAGGATCGCCAATGGATTCTATTCTGAGCCATATCTGATAACGTCTCTAGTCACTGTGTTGCACCATCTCTCGGACCCCAGCCAGGGAGTTGTGAAGGACCAACAGAAGCCAGCTCTCTACTGCTTTCTTGCATACCACGACACGATGTCATGCACTGACCACCTCTCCGCTTCTTCCAACCAGTCCCAGAGTCGGCAAATAATGCACGACGTGGAATTCTCTGGGACGACATTCGGAGAACATGTCCAAGCCACCGAAGTCGGTGTTTCAAGATGGTGACACCAATTGAATTATCATCTCTGTGCCCGAACACACGATGCCGAACCTCTGCATTACTGACATGGTGTTGCCACTGAATGTCAGCAATCCTTCGGAGACAGCGATGATCGAACACAGAGAGTCGTCTAACGTCCTCAACTCGGAGAGGCCAGGTTTCACAAGCATAGAGCAAAACTGCTCTCACCGACGCGTTGTAGATCCGACCTTTTACGACCAGACTAACATCACGAAGGCGCCATAGATGGCCCAGATTGGCATAAGCCGCTCTGGCTTTCACTATTCGTGCATTGATCTCATCACTCACACCCCCACCAGCACTTATGCAGCTACCCAGATACACGAACTTCTCAACTACGTCTATCTGCTCACCGTACAGGGTGAGTACAGGATTAGAATACTGCCAGTCTTGTAGAGGTACTTTGCACTTCGAAGGTGCAAAGCACATACCATACCTACGGACACTGATTGCCAACTGATTAAGTGCGGATTGCATGCCTTGGGCATTATCGCACAGTAAGACAATATCGTCCGCATACTCAAGGTCGAGAAGTCTTTCTCCAGGCAACAGATCCACACCACCATTACTTACATTCATCAGAGCTGTTTCCAGAATGTCATCGATGGCAAAGTTGAAGAGGAATGGTGAGATTGGGCAACTCTGCCTAACCCCACTGCTCGAATGGAACAATGGAGAGAGGTGGTTGTATGCCCTCACTCTGCCTGAGGTGTTTTTATACAGGGCTTTTAGGATGTTAATAAACTTCTCAGGCACACCCTTCTTCAATAGACAATCCCAGAGAACAGTCCTATCCAACGAATCGAAGGCAGCCCTGATGTCAAGAAACACTACGATTGTTGGCCTTTGATAAGTATGGCGGTGTCCTAACATTTGGCGGAGGGTGAAGATATGATCAATACATCCTCGACCAGAACGAAAACCAGCCTGCTCCTCGCGAGTCAATCTTTCTCGGGTTTTGAACAACCTACGAAGTATGACGGAAGCCAATAGCTTGGACGCAATCGGAAGTAGACTTATCCCCCGATAGTTGTTACAGGAACGAGGTGAACCCTTTTTAAAGATAGGGACAACTATCGACTCATTCCATGACGTTGGCACACTCTCTAGTTCCCAAACCTTTGTGAACAACGTCGTCAATTCCTTAGTCAAAAAGTCACCACCACCTTTAAAAAGAGCCGGAGGTAAGTCATCTGGGCCAGGTGATTTGTAACGCTTCAAGAGTTGGAGTTCCTTGCGGACTTCCCCCTCGTTTGGTGGATCAGTCGTCACCGGCCATGGAGGGCAGGACAGTCTGACTGATGTTGCCGGAGCAGCAGGCCAGTTGAACTGCCCTTCGAAAAATTCTGCCCATCGTCCAAGACGTCGATGGATGTTAGTGATTGGCATCCCATCATCCTCGCAGATTGTTTCACTCACACCAGACTTCTTGCTGCCAGTGGCTCGGATGAGTTGGAAGAGCTTCCGGTAGTTACCAGATGCAGCTGCTGCTTCCAGCTCATTAGCACGCATCGACCACCAGGCTTCTCGGTCCTTACGCAAGCTTTGCCCGATTTCCTTACATAACATCCTTCGTTTATGGTCAAACTCACGGTCACCCGGAGTAGACCGACGGGCTTCAATGAGTTGTAAGGAACCTGCAGAAACCCAGTGCTTAAAAGCGGGACGTTTCGCAAACCCACAACTGACTGTTCCCGCCATTTTCATGGCGTCATGCAATTGCAACCAATGCTCATCTATACTTTTCGGTGGAGTGGTAGCTAGCCTAGAGGCTAGCTCGGTTCGATACTTATTTGCAACAGAAGTTGCAACCAGCTTGCTAACATCAATCCGTTGATGGCGGTCACTTCGTTGGCCACTGAAAAGTAAGGCAAGATTGGCGCAGACCAAGGCATGGTCAGAGTCCAGATAGGTACTCCAAAAGGAGCGGCAGTCTTGTACACAACCACGCCAGCGGTAGCTGATCGCGATGTGATCAATCTGAGTCCAGGCTTGGGATGCAGAGGGAGGACGCCAGGTGGCACATCGGCGATGACTGTGCCGAAAGTTAGTGCTAGCCAGAAACAGGTTGTGGTCTGTGCATAGTTGCAGTAGACGGTCCCCGTTATCTGACCTGCGACCAACGAGTCCCCATCGGCCACCTAAACGACTCTCTTCTGTGCCTAGACGCCCGACCTGAGCATTCAAGTCTCCGGCTACTACTACAATATCTGTCGAACGCACTTTCTGGAGAAGAACAGATAATTGGTGGTAAAACTCATCCTTGATTGCATCCGGGCTGCAATCTGTCGGGGCATAGGTGGAGATGACGAAAAGACATCGTCTTAATGACATATTTTATACACCAGAAATACGTATCCCAACGTTGAGTCACTAAGCAGTCGATAACATCAAAACACTATATACTAAGAAATTGGTACACGCAATACTTAGATAAGTTTCGTACTGTCCTAGTACAACTTACACCAGAAATGCCATCCACTTGCTCTTATCGTTATCGAATCGATAAGCTTCGTACATCTAAATCTAAAATAACAAGTATCCCAACCAATAGAGTTAAACTGAGTCGTCGCGACATATCAACATACATATATATTTATAGTTCTGACTATCTTGAAATGAAGCAAAACGTTGACCTTCAACTGCCGAAACGTTTAGTCGACCTGACGTTATTATGGGCAAAGATCAGTAATCGATAGTACGGCAAACTAATCACTGAGTTCTAAAAATAAAATTGGGCGTTTAGGAAATATAATTTACACTACTAAAAACAAAATATTAAGACAGATAATAGGACTTCAAAATTAACATAAAAAGTTATTTGTCATTTGTAGATGGTGGTCGACTATTAGAACCTCCAGAGGCACCAACGCTAGTTGAATTATCCGAAGGAACATTTGCCACAGTTTGATCCGGCTTTGTTGATATTTGGGGAATAGGATAAGAAGCACCCGTACTACATTGAGGCGACTGGTGGTGTGTATGTTGCTGTGATTGTGGATAGGCTGGAACTTGGGAAGGACCAGAATTAGAATAACCTGACCAAGAATGACTACTGTGTTGATGAGGCGTGTAATGTTGTGCTGGTACAGAATAAAAACCACTCGGCCCCACATTACTACCATGGGTATATGGTGGTACAGGACAACCTAGGAAGAAATCAGCGTTAACAAATTTTTTTTCGAGATTTCAAAAGTAAACTTATTGTTACCCATGTTGAAATTGAAAACTTGAAGAACTAATCCGACAGTCTCTGCGTCTCTAATTGAACTGTGAGATTCAGCAAAAGATTTGTCAAAGGTCAAGCAATCAGTCACTCACCATATCCTAACAAATGAGCCACAGATTTCTACCCAACTGATAACTGGAAATTGATTCTTTTAATTCAGACCGTAAATACTCCATCAATAAGTAAGCAGTACGGTTTAGTCTAGTTATGACTCGGACTACTTTATTGGTCATCAGTGTTTAATTAGAAAACTCGAAATCAATGGGAAATGTTGGAATAGATTCAAGTTAGACTGGTTTTAGCTGGATAATTCGAGTCAAAAACCACTGGACAGGAGTTTTGGCACAATAGTCCGCATTGAGTTTGATTACGGATCAAACCTAGGACTTTTGGACCTCGCAAAGAACCTATTAACGTCATAAGAATAAGTCCAAAGTCTTAATCTTAATTTACGGGTGGTGAAATGTGACGACTACTCAATATTACTAGTTGCTTTACCTTCGATATGTTTGAACTTCAACAGGAGTGATTTCTCACTAGAAATGAGGAGAATTTAGAAAAACATACGTAAGCGAACAATATTGTTTTCGACTAGATCTTCATCAGACTTTACTCGAATATACAGTAATATTTATGTGAATATACGAAATTATTAAACCAATCAAGGCAGTTTATCAGTCAATGATAACAGTGGAACAGATTACATAAATAAGTGAAAATTACAAGTTGGTAGTGTGATGACAGGTGTACTAGTTGTTATAAGAATAATAAAGGCTTGAATCAATGTCAAATAATGGGAAATAGGTCGTATATACATATAAATAATACTGTATATTAGAGTAAAGCCTGGTGAGGATCTAATCGAAAACAATACTGTTCGTTTATATATGTTGTCCTAAATCACAATACGGGAATTTTTTCAAATTATGAGAATTGTCTTAATATTAAGCACTAATGAGGACGAGACTGTTGCTTAGGTAGTTGATTGCGGAGATTAGCCTAGTATTTCTCCGTGTAAGGTCAGTTCGCAAAGAGAATTATCTCAAAGCTGAACTTCTTTTCGCAATCAGCTAAGGTGAGAACTTGGCGTAGGAGATTACTTACACTTCAATATGAGTGCTAATTTCAATATAAAAAATCTACTACCAATGATAACTGATAAATGACTAAGGGTAATTTTTAATTTGGTAGATAAAACTTACGACAAAAACATGACTATGTCAAATACATCTTGTTATCAATTACAGGTAAAACTGGACTAAAATGATAAAAAATGTATGGACAAATTTTATCTTTGATGAGTATAATCTAATACCTGTTTCATAGTAAAATAAAAATTGAAAGATGTACTGAACTTTTAGTTTTGCGTTGCACATTTTTAGCATATACTTTATACATCGTTATATCAATTCTTGGAGCTACAGACGCTAAGTTAGTTTACAAATATAATCCTTCTGTGTATCTTAAACATCTAAGATCTAGATTATAACAGTTAGTAACTACTCATGCTTTCGAGCAGTCTCATTATTGAGTACGAATAATACTCACTAGTTCTATATGGGGGTGTCATGTATGGCTTACAGCGAAAAAATGTGAAACTTGTATCAACATGCTGCGTATAATTTTTAAAAGTGGTTTTATAACTTTAGCTATGGTAGACGTTGAATTAGAAAGTAATCTGCGGCTTGGAAAGCTCTCTATCTGATACTGAAACCAATGCCTATGTATAGGCAACCTACGATTCAATTTGTAATGGTTTCAAGACAGTGAAATAATGCAGCCTATTTTACTGAACTGTATAAACACATAGGAAAAACGTCTACCTTGGTAATAAATATTGGCTCCTTGAGACTGGTTAGATACCATCTGACCCATACCAACGTCTGCAGAGGACACCGACATAGTAGAGCACGGATGGACGTTATCAACAGATGACAGAGTTTGCTGATTTGGAACGACTGGCTCAGTCTGAGACCCAGGCATGTAGTGAGATGGATGTTGACTCTGAACATAGTCTGGAGGTACTTGTTGTTGTGTAGGCCAATAACTGACGACAGAATTTGGATGTTGCTGTTGTTGATACGGTGGTGGTGCCGGAATTGGCTGAGAAGCAGCAGGACTGTCTTGGATAGAAACAGGTACTGATGAAATATTTTGGTGTGGATGAGTTTGAGGGCCGTGTTGACCAACAAGATAGTGAGGCATTGAATAACCGCTGGAATTTGGACCGAAATTTCTTGGAGTCTGCATTGGGTATCCCACTGAGCCACCTAAGACTGGGTAACGGGGAGGACCATAATGTGGTGAATACGGTGGTGGGCCACCATGATGCCAGTTATTTGAGTTATGTTGCTGGGGTGGAATATGACTTGAAGTATGTTGAGTGGGACCTACCATCGGTGGGACGAGCTGAGGAACATGAGACTGTTGTGGCATGTGCTGAATATACATTGGTGGGGGAGGTGGATGCTCCGCAGATGGTTGTGGTGGAACTGGATGATACTGTACGGAATTGTAGGGAGTGTGTTGTGAAAACTGAGGGCGAGGATGAGAGTAGCCCACAGGATTAGAAACGGAGACAGGTTGATGATAATAACTGCCAGCAGACAAAGTGGGGTTCGGCGGATTCCCAATGCCAACTTCGTAGCAGTAGGGTGTCTGCACCGGACCCCCCGAAATTTGCGCTGGAACAACGGGGTTAGCAGGAGCTGGGGTTTGTTGATATTGAGAAGTAATGAGCTGCCTTGATTGGGTTGTGGACCCTTGCTGAAATTCGTTGGACTGTCCAGGAGTCATATCAAAGTCACCAGGTTTAGTCTGATCGACTACTCCTTCGCCAGACCGAGAGATAGGTCGTTCTCGCATATCCTGACTAGTTGTGGTTACAGCAGCATCTTTAACAAGGTCAGAATCAACCTTTTTCTTTTTTGACGACGTTGACGAAGCAGAAGAGGCCGATGAAGTAGAAGATGCAGATGAAGGAACTTTTTTGGTACGGCCTAAAGATACTGTATTTGGTTTACCTGTGTTATTTTGTGCTGCTTGTTGTATATTTGGGACCGGACTACGCTGATGAATTAAAACGGGTGGATTTGCCGGTGTCGCGGCGTTGGGCACATAATGTAATGGGGGTGGATAGTGGTGCTGGGTATGACCGGACTGAGGAAACCTTTGCGATGAACTTTGAGTAACTGGTTGTGTGAATGTATTACCGATTCCAGCATACAAACCTGGGTTGATTTCATGTCCAATTTCTGAAGCTGCTTTCGGATGATTTACAGGACACAATAAATTGGCTGAAGCAGAAGGCAACTTTTGTGGGGGTTGTGAACTCGTATCTTCTCTTTTGTCCTAATAAAAACAGTTCACAGCCGATATATATACAAAACATTGACGTAAATCATTATATCCAAAAAAAAGTGTTAAAATAATATTTATCAAGAAATTTATCTTTCAAGTGTAACTACAGAACACTGATTGGACAAAACAACAAGATGTACTGAGCAGAACAACCAATGAACACGATATAAACAGAAAACAAAGACGATTTTATAAACATTCAGTCCGAGTCATTGATACTGTAATAAGTCAATATATTATTTGTTTTAAAAACCTAAGAGGACCAATTAACTGACAATAAGGATGCACATGAAGTTTTCAACGATCTACAATAAAATATATTCAGTATCACTAAAAATTTCCACCATTAATGTGTCGCAAGTAAGTCGATCAAATTAATACATAAACAAGAGAAGCAATTCGTGTTGGGGAATACTAGTCACTCGAATCAAATAATGAGAATCTCGAAAATTGAATTTAGTGTATGATACCATGTCCCCAAATGCCCCAGTACGGCCGAGAGTGGGAAGAGTTCACTCTCTCTCTCGAAATGCTCTCACATGGCCACGCGTATATAGCCTCTGCCAGGGAAGTCCTACTCATTACCTTCTCGTGGCGGGGATGTTGTTTACGAAATTGAGAGGACAAAAAGCGAATGTCCGGCGATTTGACCGGGTTGGTGGACATGGAGAGTCCACCTAGTGGAGTTGGAAAACCATGATTCCAAACCAATGGTGCACATAGGCTCCAGTAACCTGAGGAAACAAATGGCGTATGAACCAATTATTGGTCACCAGCTTCCATGGGACTGCATCTCCTTACGATGCTCCACTGCCTTGTTGATCAGACCTTCAGGTCGAAGGCTCCGGGTGTAGCCCCCTAGGAAAACCACCTGCTTCGGTTTGGTCACCCGGGCAGAATCACATCTCTCACACATATCGAATGAGATCTGTGTGGCGCATATGTATTTGGTGCCTCCTTGTACCAATATCTATGTGTTAAAATAAAATAAATAGATTGTTTACTGATCCCATCGTAGTGCACATGAAACAAGACTTGTAGATGTAGGAACCACTCCTTAGATTTGTTCAAAAATATCAGGAACCCATCACAAATAGCTCTCAACAGTCAGGTGTTTTTAACGCTGGTAAATTTATTCAAAGTTTGTCGTAGTGCGTTGTCTAGAAGGAAGACGAAAGCTTCACGACTAAACCAACCGACTCAGAGAACGAAACCCCACCAAGATGAATAGTATCGTAAACTTGTTTGCTACGTTCGATAACATCCAAATGTCGACTTGTATACCAGACAACACTATAATAGCTGACGGTGGACTAAGTTTTGTTAAAAATGATTCTGGTAACAATTTTTGACGTTTAGACTGTTTGGAAACCCTAGGCCACTGTTCATTAAGCCGTTTGGTCGTTCATGGTGGACCATGCAGGAGAAAATGTTAATTCTGGTTTGTACTTCAGGACTATAAAATTATGTGAAATTACATTATTGCTGTTATCGTTTTAAATCATGATTTTGTCCTTTTGCTTTTACAAACAGGAGTTTACATAAACGGTAATAAGTCTACCGAGGACATTAAAGTGGACATAGATGACCAAGCAATCAAACCTTTGCAATTACTGGATGGATCTGGAGTGCGGACCGATTATTACTATGACTTGGAGGGCTGGTGTATGAAATCAATAAACAAATTCCGATCAAACAGTAAACTTCATAGATGGATGAAGCAAAAAGAATTTTGATGAACATTTACCTATGGTTACAGAAAAAAGACCTGAAATATCTTTTGGAAGCCAGATGTTATTTTCAAAATGTTTGGTGACGGACCGATTTTTTATGTCTGGATACCCTAAAACAGCTTTTACTTTACTCGGAAACTAGAGCCAAGTGAACAGTCAACGACAGGTATGTAAATACCCGAGGTGTACGGTAATAACGAAATTAGTTAGGTTGGAAACAATGAAGGTAAAAATTCGGAATGATTTTGATAAGATACCTGTGCTATCAGTCTTTCTAATGAGCGGTCACTAAATTGAATATTCGGGTCATTGTGCGGTGGGGCTGCCTGATTTGGTCTCATATGAACTTGCTGCAACTGTTGTTGATGTAGTAATTGACGTCTGCGTTCAGATTCCAGTAGCTCCGCTTCTCTCTGCTGCCGCTGCTGTTGACGCTTGCGTCTGATTTCTAATTCCGCCAAATAACGAGTCTTACGCTCCTCTTCTTCACGCTGCATATCGTACTTCGCTTTAATTATCATATCGGCAAACTGAGACTCAGTGATAACTGGTCTTGCTGTCGTTATTTTTTGATAGTCTAATCGAAAACGTTCAGATTCTTCACGAATGCGCTGCACTTTGGCTTGATGTCTTGCTTCGCACCCTTCAATCTCTTGACATAAATTGCGCTTGTGGTTTTTCAGTTGCTCTACTTGCAGACGCAGCGTGTTAAGACGGCTTTGGGTGATTAGTTGACCAGGATCAGGGAGTCTCGTATCACTTAAAACTTCTTGCATGAGACGATGGTTTCTCTGGAAACGAGCGGCTGCTACATGCTTCGCAGTGAATTGGTCTTCAGTATCTATGATGAAAAGAAACATTCAAGTAAAAAGTATGTTCGTTATATCTAAATAATCGTAGTATTTACAAGGTCTGATCATGCTCACGGACATTGTACACATACAAACTATCGATCATTCATTATCAACGTATAGCCTGGCACAAATTTTATGTTAGACAAACTGCCATGATACAGTAGCACAGAATCAAAAACAGTGCTTGAAGGAGCTAACTTTTGGTCTGAGCCATGTCGGTAGATGCAGAATACTTTGTTGGGTCCGCGTGACTATCGTAACGAATAGTTGGAGACTCTGGATGACATGGCTCAGAATCAATCACAGTGGCGTAGGTGAATACACTTTTTGTCTTCCCTTGAACCGTAAAACTAAAATCGCTCTCTATCTTTCTTTCTACCAACCAATTTTTTCTTCCTGTACTATATCCTTATATGCTATCTTATATTACCACCATTGAATTAATTACTCCTATGAATCCAGTGTTTATCTTGCCGTGCTAATGAGGTATGGCAACTTGGACTGATGCATACATGTGCCTGGTCCTACGTTGTAGCTGACTGACTGAGTAGAAATTACCTTAAGTTGGTGGTACAGTTTGCATATGGTGATGACTCAATCGAGCTGCATTAGTTGCAACGTCCAATCCTTAGGTCCTACCATGTCAGACAGAATGGTTTGAGAGCAGATGAAATAAATGCAACAAAGTAAAGGTCTGAGGGTGATATCGTACGACTAACCATTTAGGTGTAATGATAATAAGGTGCTTTACTTACACAATCAATACCTTCAGCGACGCTCTCTTCTCAGTGAAAGAAAGCTACAAAAGTTCCACCCTAAAAACGACACACTATCTTGCCCATTGGTTTTTCACTGACGGCACGAGGTTTGAAATGTACAGATTCAACACATTACATTACTACTAATAGTAATATGTTAGTATACTTTGACGCTCATATCCAATAATGTAATTTAAATCTACGATATAAGCAAAGATTACCTTCTTCGTTATCTTCCAGTATATATGACTCCCTCAAATCACCCTGAGGAAGTTCATTCCCACGATCTCTCGACCTTAAAATTGATTGCCTGCGCCCTTGGTCTTGTTCTTCCATGCTTTTCTCAGCTAAAAAATAATAGTAGAAGTTATTAAAATACAATACCTCTTTCCTTCGCTACCAACCAAGCCTGATATGCTGGCGAACTATGGTACTGCCGTAGTAATTCCGTGTATTGGGTTTTCTCGGCATCGTACTCTTCGACATATAGTATTTTTTCATCATCAGGAAGCTCACGCCACATTTGCCCAATAATTTTCCCAACCTCCCACAACTTGAGATGTGGATTCGAGTTTTTAACTTGTTCCCAAACTTTTCGGCTGTAGCGCATGTACGGCATTAATGGTTTTTCAGGAGGTTTAGGAGGTTTAGGGACACGAATATCACTCTGAAGTACCATTAGATAATAAAGAATAATACCTTAGAATTCATTCTAATGGTCTGGAATGTACTATTATTATGTGGAGATTGAAAGTAATATGACTTAGCTTCCTAAAAATTAAAACAAAAAAACGTAAAAACTACCTTACCATTTTAAAAATAAATACAAAACTATGTACTTTGAGTGAGAACTAGTGGATCTATTATATCCATTGAATCTGAAACAAACTATGGACCTGCATACAATCACGATACAAGAGGTAATAACGGCGAAACAGGCTAAGTGGACAGAATGCTTTTGCTACGTTTCTATACAAAGCACCTACTAGACTGAAAGTTTACCCAGCTGTGAAGTTTTAGGGTGCCAAATCAAGAAACGAGTGAATTAGCTTGGCAAGAACAGGTTCTATTTAGGGTCGACCGTTAACAAATACAGGAGTGATCAGTATCAGAACTCCTGTCGTTTTTAGGCTTGTCCCATTACAATGTACAAACCTTTATCCTAGTAAGATAAATCCTATTGAATTTAGTGACATACAAAATCAAGGAATAACTACGATCAGTCTTGTACCACTAAACGTATGTTACAACAGCTTGCCATATCTATACACGAATATGCCAGCGAATCGACGATCAATGAACGAACTACAACTACTAGAAACAAAGCAGTGGATGGCTGACTCAAGAGAAATGATTTTTCATTCTATCGTAATCGTATAAATCACTAGAGAGGCGTCTTTAAAACGTGAAAATCATGATAACAAAGGATTGTTCTCATTTTTTAAAATTAGATCATGATTAAGATCGTGGCGATACCCCACAATGTAAGACTTACGTCCGCTACTTAAGCTGTCATAACGCAGAGTTTAGGGGATGCTCGGAAATTAGGGCACAACACAGTAGACTAAACTGGAGGCACACCTCTTCACGAGTAGTAGTGTTAGAGTTTGCTGCCTGATAAGGCAGTCCAAAAAGCTTGCCAGTTCTTAAGGAATAAACTTTATATATACCCAGGGACTTCATACGTCATTTATTTTTCTAGTGTCAAATGTAAATCGCTCCCAGCTTGAAGGAACCGGTGACATAATGCTGCTAAGTACGGAAGCCATCTAATCGAAAGCCCCTCTAGTTCCATTTACAACTGTTTGAATGAGTCTGCACTAAGTGACACAGGACGTAATTTATGGTTCGCTCAGTATAATATAACTGCTACACTTCAGAGTCGGCTTAATACGATGTGTCTAGCGTTGGAGGTTAAATTGAGGTTAGATACTACTACAAGTCCGGAATTAAAGTAGCATTTAATCTACGGACCACATTAGTCACTTACAAAACGCTTCTAGAATAATTTGAGCGACATCACGTACGTAAAGACGATACTGAAAGCAGTGAAATCTGAAATCATAACTTGACTGGTACAATCAAAATGTCGCAATTATGAATCAAAATTTGGTAACACAACAAAGTTATGCAGCTAATTATTTTCGAGCTGATTTTTGGGTATATATTTGTCATGCTAACATTATTAATAGACATTTATAATACTGTATGTCAAGTGGATCTCTGCTGTGGCCAAGAACTTATGATGGAAACCGTCATTGACAAAAAACCAAGTAGTGAGCTTTTATATATATAAAACGATAAAAATGATAGTGTTACAAACGTGTCGACCGAGAATGATAGAATACCAAGATCCTCGGACAGGAAAATGAAAGCTATGTACCGCCACAATGAGATGAGAAATAGGTAATTTAAACAAGACATATGACTTTACAATGAACTGAGTGACTCACCCAGGGGATTCTAGATGTTTTCCAACTTGTGAAAAGGGTAATACAGTCACAGAGTGGGACTTTGTCGGTATGATTTTGACAAGTTGGTGTTGCCAGTGTTGAGTTGTGTGCACTGGATAAAATAATTACAATTATTTTGTTATTTCTGCACCTGACATCATTGAAGTTCATTTAAAGTTGAAACTAGCAGCAGCAGAAGGAACTAACTGAAGGATTAGGCAGAAGGGATCAATGGAAAGATCTTGCTTAATGCAAATTTTTGTAGTCAGTATTTAACTTAATAGTGTTTTACATCTGTTCATTTAGATCTACACGGATTCACGTGCGGCGATGTATCGCCCCCCTTAAATCTTTAAAGCGATAACATCTGTGTTAAATCAGCTTCTAAAGGCCAGGGTTGAGTCGTATCTCAGAAAGATCTTGTGATAAGTTCATTTCGTGTATTTCCAAATGCGTTGTAACGGTAAATAAATCTCCAAAATAAATAGTTCTGTAAGTTTTCGACATCGGATGCTGACCACATTAGTTTTAATGGACTCACCTAGCTTAAGGCTCTCGGTCAGGCATCCCTATCAGATCATGAGTGGGAACGCCGTACTAAGCATCCCTTGCAATCGCTAGCCAGTCTAGATCAGTCGATCCTCGATATATTGATAGCCTTTCGAATATATCTTCGAACCTCTTCGCTTCTGTCTTTTGATTACACTTGGTGGGTGTTGCCGGTTTTTCCAGTCAAAGAAAAGCCTCAATCGCCACCGTATAAAATTACAGAACTGTCATACGCTTACAGGTTATCTTAGATTTCGTAACGACTGTAAACGGTCACATACCCCGCGAAGAAGCACTTCAGGTAGGTGATCCCTCTCTAGACTACGAAGGTTGGATAACCCTGACTGGTGCTGATAACATAACGAGTATGGAAAGCCTTCCAGAAATTTCAGAAAACCCTGCAATTTTCCCAACACGAAATCGACTGACTCGATAAACGACTCGGGAAACTTCCAAGTCGGCACGCGTTAACGGCAACCGTAGCCGGCAAACATAGCCGTCTCTTGTACGTCAGAGATCTGATAACAAAAGTTCGCTACCTCGTCGATACTAGCGCAGAGATTAACGTTCTTCCTGCAAATTCTAACGTCCAAGTTCACGAAACGGCTTCAAACTTATGGGCGGCAAACGGAAAGCCAATCGCCACATATTGTGAAAGGTACTTTTACCTTAACGTAGGTTTACGCAAACCCATTCGCTGGATCTTTAGAGTTGCATGTGTTTCTATGCCAATCAATGGAATAGTCCTGCTACAACATCACAACTGACTCATCGATACGCACAAATGGAGGCCAGTAGACGGAAACACTGTTTTGTGTGTTAGCCTGGCCTCTTTTTCTGGTTGAAGATTATCTCCCATCACATTTAGGCACACGATAGACTCATTCTATCAACCATTGCTCGATAAATACTCTAGGATATACCAATCGCAGCCGAAATTACCGCGTGTAACCAGCAATGTTACATATCACATCACGACTACAGGATCACCTGTATTCTCGAAAGCACGCCGACCGGTTCCCAAAAAGCTGAGGTTGACCAAAAACGAATTCGACCACATGAAAGAATTAGGAATCATTCGACCATCAAACCGTCCATTGGCATCTCCGTTGCACATGGTCCCTAAAAAGAACAGCAACGGTTGGCGTCCAACTGGTGATTATCGGCGATTGAATGCGAAAACCATTCTCAATCGTTACCCGTTACTCCACATTCCCAATTTGACAGCTACCTTGAAAGGTACAATTATTCGTTAATCGACTTGGTTAAAGCTCATTACCGAATTCCTATGACCACTGACGATATTCCGAATACCGCTATCATATCTCCTTTTGGACCTTACGAATTTTCGCACATGCCTTTCGGCCTAAGGAATGGTTCCCAAACATTTCAGATCGTGAAGCTGCTTACAAAAGTTATCACTGATCACACTTGACAGCTTTTTTCTACAATTCAAGTATAAATTCCTTAACTTTCTGATTGTCCTGACGACTAGTTTTATGAAAAATGATGAACTTACAAAGAATTCTCAAAATAGAGCAATTTATGGTAGGTCGAACTAGATGAGCACATATGAACGTAATATATTTCTACTTCATAGCCAGAGGGCAATTAAGTACAAACGAATCACTAGTTCATACAAGTACCACGGCAGCATTTCTTAAACTGATAGAAATGCAAACAAGTATGTAGAATCCTAGGAGAGTGACGACAGTGGTTTTAGGAATGTCGTCTGAAGCCATAGGAGTTCGTTTATACCCCTTACCAGGTCGATTTTCGAAAAAAAAATAATGAACATATCTACGCTAGTAAAATGATAGACCAATACTAATACTGTGAAGTTTGCATGATTCGACTAGATGATTCAAAATATCTTGTGGTACTGTCGAGTCTCAGTGGACTATGATCACCACTACAGATAGATTATATGACAATTACCAGGTTAAATCCCTCCGTACGATAAATATTAGAAGAACAGTTGTAGATTGTAATTGCGAATCTCGTGGTAACGAAATAATACCGAGATCGTGCCAAAACGTACAGGCGAGACTAATGAGGGTACATGAGTAAATTTATGGTCAAAAACAATGGAAAACGTCTGTTTTTTGGTACAGTTAAACAAAAAGGTACAGTAAAACAATCACTGGTACAGTTGGTTATAATAATAAATGTTTCCATTACACCAATCGCGTTCTCTTTATAAAAGTATATCACTACATAGTCATGAAATTCGTCGAAGTAAATATTTTATATAATATTCTCACAATAACGAAAAGTTTTATCAGAATACGCAAAATGCCTGTGCAATGAGGCTCAACTACTAATTATTCGAAATTTCATATGATACGAAGCAACATGCTAGCAAAAAGGGGTAATAAACTCAACCGTTAAGTACCAGTTCTGTCTTTTAGCAGCTAGCTGTAGATGTCGTAGAGCGGTCGTTGGCTGCCAGCCAAATCACTTGACGATGAGCTTTCATTGGTGATACAGTAGGGAAGAGTCTTCATCAGATTGGTCATAATTTAATCAACAAGAGCACGTATATCGTACAGCGGTGATAATACTTGAAGAAGTAATATCGTGACTAATTACGTTACTTATCAGGGAAAATATGTGAACATATGAAATATTCCAGAGGGTGATGACTTAGTCGCTCGAAAATACAACCAAAATATCTGGACTGTCACTGATTATCCGTGTTGCCAAAAGTTTGGTAAGCAAGGTCAGAGTTATCTTCTGCCCTACAGTTTCCAACGAAACATTCATCCACTTAAAGAAGGGTAACCGAAAATCAATGACGATTTTTGTTG